TGGGTGTTATGGAATCGTCAGCTTACAATGGCCTAATAAAGGGAGGGCTTGAAGGCCATCCAGGCGTGCCGACGCCATAGGAATGTAAGTCAACTCCTGTCACCCCGAAGGCCGGGCGGCGGTCAAGGCCAGGAAAGATATTATCACCCGACGTTCAGATCTGACGACCATGATCGCTATTTCCAAATGTAGCGAACGTCGATTGGTTCTCAAACAATGTGGAGCAAGCTGGGCAAGCGTCAATCACGAAGCACGTTTTGTGCTACAGAATATAAGAAATTGGACATGGTTTCTCCCCTCGCTAGTTATCACAGAAATAAAACTTGTGATTGAAAATTTTGAAAATAACACATTTATGCGTGATTTTGTACCCTTGCATATCTATTCGTGATTTTAAGACGTTTATTCGTATTCCATAAACGGGTCTTTTTCTTGCATATTCATCCGTGATGTTAAAGCGGTTACTCATATTCGCATACTCGGTTATGGAACCAGGTATGGGAATGCGAGTAAGTACTTTAAGATCACGAACAAATATGCAAGAAACCCACGAGAAATGGCCAGAACACGAACACAGAGCAATACTTGGCTAAGTGAACACTTCCAGCGCGCGCTGTCATCTGTCGACGAGTTTGAAGTACTTCAAGTAAGTTGCAATTTCGCACGGCTAGTTTGGCAGTAGCTTTGCGTCAAACAAGTGTTCCATGGCTCAGTCAAAGAATGACATATTGATAAGCGTATTTACTAAAGGAATATTTTTTTGTCTTCTCTAGAGCATTCTTCCACATAAAAGTACACCAATAGTTATAAGTGGGTTTCTTTCATTTTATTTCATGCCTGCTTCAGTATCTCCAGATGTGGAACATCCCCGTTAAGTTCCATCGCGATCCATCCACTTTGCACTCCTAATCCTACGTCGCGTGCTCAAAGCACCGAACGATTTCGCAAGACAAGCCGTTTACCAAATTAACCATCGTATCAACCCACATATCGGTCCATGCCTTTCCGCAGCCTTGAAAGGCCAGGTTATCCGGTCGATGTCGGCCATCAACCACAGCCTTTCTTTCGTTCAGACTTGGGGTCCCGTGAGGTGGTCGAAAGCGCTGGCTCGGCTTTTGGCAAGTGTGGTCGCATGGTCAGTGCTCGATTGGAATAATCAGATGGTTCACTCCGTGACCTCGTTAGATGGTTCACTCCGTGACCTCGTCAGATGGTTCACTCCGTGACCTCGTCAGATAGTTCACTCCGTTACCTTGTTAGATGGTTCACTCCGTGACCTCGTCAGATGGTTCACTCCGTGACCTTGTTAGATGGTTCACTCCGTGACCTCGTCAGATGGTTCTCTCCGTAACCTCGTTGGATGGTTCACTCCGTAACCTCGTCAGATAGTTCACTCCGTGACCTCGTCAGATGGTTCACTCCGTAACCTCGTCGGACGGTTCACTCCGTAACCTCGTCAGACGGTTCACTTCGTGACCTTGGGCGCTGATAGAACTGAAATCTTCGTAGAAATCGGGTTCATGTTTTTACCAGGGCGGCATACCCACCCTGCAAGTGGATATAATTATTTCACAAATGGTGTTACTATGCTGTGTAATACTCTGACGTCGGCTAACGAACTTGTTTCGAAACGGAAACAGAAAGTGCCGTCTAAATCCTCGCTCTGCAGGTGTCATTGGTTGGGCCAATATTGATGTGGGATTGGCAAGAGGTGCGCGTGGTTTTCTTCAAATTGGAATGTGTTTCCAACATCCCATTTTAAGCGGTACAGAAACCAGAGTAGTGGAAAGGCCTCGGGGGGGGGGGGGGGGGGGGGCCTCAAGACCTCACACGGGCCAAGTTAACGTAAGTATAGGTACACACATTACTCAGGCCCTCTGACATAGTCGAGTGCCTAGATGCTTTTTAACTGCTCTTTCCTGAAATCCTCTTGAGAAACCGCACGTAGATTACATTCGCAGCAGGCTCGAGAGCCGCGTTCGGGAGCGGGCCGGATGCCTGACTGACTCCGATGAGCTAACGACGGGGAGCGATCGGTCAGGCGTGACCTTGAGATTTGCCGATCCTCGACTGAGCGCGAGCCTGTCGCACCACTGCTCTTTGGGAACGGGTTTGGGCGCTGTGGCTCTGTACATGGCTGTTGAATCCCGTCGGGGTGTGCACGATGGCGTTGTTTAAAAGTGAACGGCCATAAGATCAGATCACTATTTCCGAGCCAGGCCCACGAACTCAAGTACACTTGTGACCTCGATCACCGGCTAACAGACAATCATCAGCAGCTGTAGTATGCTGCTTACGGAGAACCTGTGTGTGATGTCCGAGGCATGTATGCGAAGTCTTGGCACCGTGACCTTGACTGTACCACGTATATATGCACTACTTTGGACATACGTACACAGCTTGCATATTATATATATATATATATATATATATATATATATATATATATATATAGTATAATGTTATGTTTTATTATGGTTGCTTGTTAGGTTATGTTAGGTTAACAATGACCGCTAATTTCGCATTAGCAAACTTGTTGATGCATCGTTCGGGCTTCCGTGCGTTCGACTTAGAATTGTTAAGACTAAAGATTGTTCGTACATCACTCATGTATTCGTCGATATCTGTACATTCTAATGTTTCCAGACCACATCTCATTGTTCGAAAAATACAAATGCCACAAGCAGTGGGCTTTAAGTTTTTAGCGATGAAAGCTGTGCATCGTGATCTTAAAAACATATTTTAGTACGGAAAGGACAATAAGTCCTATCGTTACTTGGACACGTATAAAATGCATTCGCCATGAAAACACTACGAAGACACAAAACCACAACCACATTTACATTAGCTAAAGCCCACCACCTCATATATCAAGAGTTGTGCGAGAATTTGCTTGAATGAAAGTGTCTTCCGCCATTGCACGTGCGAAGAATTTCAGTGTTGTCCGTTAGTTGTTGGGTTGATGTGGTCACATTTCACCATATCACGTTAAAGGGAGTGTTCCACATTTGTATTGTGTTTTGAACGGAAAAGCCAGCTTGAAGATCATTCGGTGCAGTTTACAGCCCGGCCCTTCTTAAAACCTGAACCCTTGTAGTTTCTGAGCTAGACGCCCTCGAAGATGTGCAAACTATTTCATGCAGACTGTTCCAAGGCCACCCAGACACTTATGATGTACTAATAGCGTTATTCAAATCCTGACATTCCATTTGGCATGCGGCGATCAAGACCAAGAAAATATTATTGTCAAGCCGTTCAAATCTGGCGTTCGCGAGCACGATTTGCGGCCATGACAGCCATTATTGGCCCTCAATTAATGTTGTGCAAGGTTCAATGACGTCACCAAACAATGGCATGTTGAGGAGAAAATCTCCTGTATAGGGAAATTATGTTACATACAGCAATCTTTTCCACTTATAAGCATGCCAATAGCTATAAGTAAGCTTATGTCATCATCGATTTCGTCATGGATGAGATTGTCTCGCAAAACCTTTCTCAACGGTTTGGTAAGGTGGGGTCAAGTATTTTTGTAAGACACGTCTCAGGACGATCACGAGAGGTATTGTGTGTGTAAAAAGCATCATCAGGTGTGGTGTAAATGACAAATTTCGCGTTGTGATGTAAACGCATCTAGGTGATCGAAGCAGCCTGGAAGCGTTAATTGAATCTGTGGTAAAATGGATTTGGCCCGATGAAAATAACTTGCTTTTTACATAATCGAGGGTGCTTCATGTACCCCTGGTTCTGGTTCTGTCATTGTGGCCTGGGGAAAAGGCCGTACTCGGGCTCCCTCGGCAACGGCATTGTTTGAGCCGGCTGACAGCTAGCGAAAAGGTCAGGTCGGGTCAGAGGTCACCTGACTCGAGTGCTCGTGCGGTTTGCTGCTCAGCGTGTTAAGTCCCGCGCGATGCCGTCTGACAAAGAGGTCGGAAGCGAAATTATCCGGTAAACTGAGCCGAACCTTGTCGGGTCATAGGTTTATGGTAAACAAAACAAGCTTTGTTCAGCAAATTCTCTTAGTTCAAAGTCATCCATGCGATTCAAAAGTAATCATACGGCATCTTTTTTTGATGGTCCTTCTCCCCTCACCGTGCGACATTTCAGCCCAGGGTTCTTTTTTAGCGGACTCTACGATAGGCTGGCATGCCATAGTGATGCTAACATTATTGCATTCAGACCGTGGCGTACGACGCTTACGAAACCAAATCAGCGTACGACGCTTACGAGATCAGATCAGCGTACAACGCTTACGAGACCAGATCAGCGTACGACGCTTACGAGATCAGATCAGCGTACAACGCTTACGAGACCAGATCAGCGTACAACGCTTACGAGATCAGATCAGCGTACAACGCTTACGAGACCAGATCAGCGTACAACGCTTACGAGATCAGATCAGCGTACAACGCTTACGAGACCAGATCAGCGTACAACGCTTACGAGATCAGATCAGCGTACAACGCTTACGAGATCAGATCAGCGTACAACGCTTACGAGATCAGATCAGCGTACAACGCTTACGAGATCAGATCAGCGTACAACGCTTACGAGACCAGATCAGCGCACAACGTTAACGAGATCAGATCGGCGCAGGACGCTTACGAGATCAGATCAGACCGGAGGCTTACGAGATCAGATCAGCGTACGACGCTTACTAGACTAGATCAGCGCGCGACGCTTACGAGATCAGATCAGCTTACGAACGATATCAGATCAGCGCACGACGCTAACGAGGTCAGGTCGGCGCAAGACGCTTACGAGGTCAGATCAGCGTTCGACGCGATCATCCAAGGAGGGAAGGAGAGAGAAGCACTTTTTCAGCCCCTGTCATTTGCTGTGGTTGTAGAACTAATATTGCAGTTTCAACCGCGTTGCAGGGAACAATAATATTTTAGTTCTCAGGCGTCTTCATCTCACGCTGATCGGGGCACGACATGCGTATTTTATATTGGGTTGTCGTCCGTGCTGTCATGCTTTTTACCTGGCGGTCTCTTTTTCAGATACTGCGAATTCAGCATACCTGTTATTGCAAGTCAGCCAGATATGTTTCGTTCAACAAAACATTCAAGGTCAGCTTGGCAGCGTGATTCCCATTTGTTCCCGGCTTTTCGAGCGGCACGTGGGTGTAGGATAAACACTCAGCCCATGGTTGTCCGGCTGGCGTAGGATGCTGTGATTGGCGGTTCAGAAAACGCCGTCTTATCTGGCGCAGTAGCAGCTCAGTATCCACTAAGGTGTCGCAGTAGCAAGTAGGCCTGTACGGAATTCCGATGTGATATTTTCTGCTGCTGGTGTCATTTGTTATGTGACAGAGCGTGTGTGTGTGCATAATAAGCGCACCATAATATGCATGAGTGCCAGCACAGGAAGGAAGAATGGGCAAACCTTAGTTATGTAAAATTCAGCGTCTGTCTTCTCAGTCACCCCAGACTCGTTGCTATTAGTTTATATTCCTCTTCCTCTTGGTACCGATTTCGTTCGTGACGGTTGCGACACCTATTCGTTGTGTCGAACCCCTTATTTCCCGTCCCCGTTTCGACGGTCCAATGGCCTCGCCTGCACGCCCGGCGCTATCCGCAGTTCGAGGACATGGAGATGGAGCTGGCTACGCCGGACCAGCTGAAGCCAAAGCCGCCGGTCAGCAGCCTGGTGTTCGGCAAGCACTTCACCGACCACATGCTGACGATCGACTGGAGCGCGGCCGAGGGCTGGGCGCGACCCCGCATCACCCGCATCCAGCCGCTGCCCATTCACCCGGCCGCCAAGGTCCTCCACTACGCTCTCGAGGTGTGTGTGTGTGTGTGTGTGTGTGTGTGTGTGTGTGTGTGTGTGTGTGTGTGTGTGTGTGTGTGCGTACGTGCGTGCGTGCGTGCGTGCGTGCGTGCGTGCGTGCGTGCGTGCGTGCGTGCGTGCGTGCGTGCGTGCGCGCGCGCGCGTGTACGTATACGTGTACGTGTACGTGTACGTGTGTGTTTGCATCGGTTGCGGAAGGCGCCGGATGTCACACTCGATAGGTAAGTACAGATTTTGTTATGGCGTGGCACCTGGGTCTACCCTGATTATTGGATAATCTCCTAGGGTAGGATTAGTTGCCTATTCAGCTGGGTGGGAGGGGGGGCTTCATCCCCCCAACACGAGCTTTGGGAAGAAAATGGGAGAAATCCCCGCGGAAAGCTGTTTGTTGGCATATTTTGTGAGCAGATCGGGTCATTTTTAATGGTTCAGCCCCTCCTAACTCATTTTGCGAAACTACGCCCCCATCCCAGGAGCCCTCACTATCGCCATTTGGATGGGATCTGCTATCCATGCGTGGGTACGCACATGGATAGCAGTGTCCGTTGGAGCCTGTCCGTGCCTCGGCGCAGGGTCCGAGCCCATTGCCGGGCGCGGTGTCGGACGGTGGTCGCCCGTGCCGCCAGCTGTTTGAGGGGATGAAGGGGTGTCGGACGGTGGTCGCCCGTGCCGCCAGCTGTTTGAGGGGATGAAGGCGTACCGGTGCGAGGACGGTCGCATCCGTCTGTTCCGACCCGACCTCAACATGGAGCGCATGAACAACACGGCCAGCCGCGTCGTGCTGCCCAACTTCGACGGCCAGGAGCTGATCAGCTGCATCAAGCGCCTGGTTGCGATCGACCAGGAGTGGGTGCCGCACTCCACGGCTTCCAGTCTCTACATCCGCCCGACGCTCATTGGCACGGAGGTCAGCGGGCGGGAGCACGGCCGGCCTGCACCGGGCGTGATTCTCTGATGGCGGGTGGCGCCCGGCCGCAGGGCGACGGCGACGGTGGCTTGTGGTGCGTCAGGAGACGCGTCAGGTGCAGGATCGGTAGTGTGGTATGTGTGTGGGAGCTCGCGCTAAGTCGCTCTGTGTGCGGGAGCTTGTGCCAAGCCGCGTCGGCTTTGTGAAGTGTATCGTTTGTAACGTGTATTCTTTGACTTGTTGCCTTTCGAACCGATACTCTGACCCTCCACTATACTAATGATCACTGTGTGACCGACCCTCCTGTGACCCAGCAGTCTCCGACCCATTATGCTCAGACCTACAGTCTTCTGACCAGCTACCCCACCCGACCCACCACCGTCAATCCCACCGCGTCCCAGCTCACCGTTGTCTGACACATCTAGTTCGTAGTTGCTACCCACTGCGCTTGGGCCCATCGTTCTGCGGCGCCCCGCGCGTTGACCGGCCGTCCTGCGGCCGGCAGCCGACGCTGGGCGTGTCGGCGTCCAACAACGCCATCCTGTACGTCATCCTGGGCCCGGTGGGGCCGTACTTCGCGTCCGGCTTCAAGCCGGTCTCGCTGCTGGCCGACCCGTCCTACATCCGCGCCTGGCGCGGCGGCTGCGGCTACGCCAAGATGGGCGCCAACTACGCGCCCACTGTCATGGTGCAGGTGAGTGGCGACCGGCGGCCGCTGAGAGCGGGCTGCTTGTCAGCGGAGGGGTGGGGTAGGGGGGGGGGGGGGGGGGGGGGGGGTTGGACTGGGGAGTCGACTCAGCCGCCGACACAGCAGCCGGAAGCTGAGCCGGGCTGCAGCCGCGTGACAAACGCATGGGGTGGCACAGGCCCGTTGCGCCGGTGGTTGTGGTAGGGTTGGAAGGGGCTTTGCACAGGTACTCAGCTGCGAATGATCTGCTGCTTGTGGTGTAGGCGTTGCAGTCGTTGCTGGATGTTTAGATGCTGTAGACCAGGCTCGCGGTCGGGATTCACTCCTGGAGATGGCGAGGGTCAGGCAAGCGTCGGCCCCCTGGCGACTCGTTTCTGGGGTGGCGAGGGTCAGGCAAGCGTAAGTCCGTGATGACACCTGCGGCCCCCTGGCGACTCGTTTCTGGGGTGGCGAGGGTCAGGCAAGCGTAAGGCCGTGATGACACCTGGTAACGACGGTGACGCCGTCATAGGCTGATTACATGAAATGAAATTGGAACGCCCGCGCCCCCGTCCATGAGGTTATACTGCACAGGTCGGTAAGTTGCTTTCACGTTTTTGTGCATTTAGCCATCTGAAAAAGCTTTTTATGGTTAGAGAATACCCTTCGCCCTTTAGGACCATGTTGAGTTTTTGGAACTAACAATTTCTGCAATGCATTGTTCTGTCAGCCAGGATCAGGGATGACTCCGGATCATAAACGTATGCTCACAAACGCAAAATTAAAGCCATAATCCATGAGATGTAGACTGATGAGCCCATAGGGGCGAAATACTGGCAAGGAGTCGTTGCTACCATCTTTAATGCGTTCTTATTTTCCATGTGGTAATTTTCTTCATGTTTTACCGCGTGTCTTGGGTGAATCAGGTCACGGCTTGATGGCGGCGCCAGCTGGCCAAGTGAATATAAGCGTGCCGCTAGACCAGCATGAGCGCATCACGGTGTTAACTTGGGGACCGGCTCCCTCGGCGGCGCGCCATGTGTAAGAACGCTCCCCGCTGGTTTAATATGAGAAAAACGAAATACGCAAGTGATCAGAAATCGCCGAAACGCGTGTCAAAACACAGTTAGCTGCTCGGCAACGGCGGTCACAGCAAAAAGGACCAACGCGGAAAAGGGCGGCGACCCGGGCAGATATTAACGTGAAGCCGACTGCATCGTGCGAGCCCATGTACTGTCTACAAATCATCCATGCAGCCCAACACACCCAAAGCGACACTCCCACTTTCAATGCTCCCGTAAACACAAAGCAATGCCGGTAAATAACCGGGGCGCGGGCAATGTCTCTTTTTCGGATACAATCTCACGATCTCCTGGAGCCTAAACTGAGCAATCGAGGTTAGAGAAGTTGACATGACGTATTTCCAGTTCTTGATGGCCTTTACGTCAAAATATGTGCGTATTTTTCCGTACTTTGTTCGCAAATGCCGAAAGCGTTCGTCACTGTATAATGCCTTGTTTTCGTCGGCGCGAAATTCCGCTCTCTTTTTACCGGTTTTCCAACGAATACACGGTGTCCTGGAAACGCTTGGAGCGTGTACGGGCGGTCCTCCGCGCGGCGGCTCCTCAGACGTGTCGCTGGGAATGCGGCAAACGACGTTCATGCACGGAACGAAAACGATTCGGCCGAGACAAATTCATGCTATTGCACTAACGCTCAAATCCGTTTCTGCGTGCTGCTGGTCGCACGGTGTCGAGTGCGATAATTGGCTTCGTGGATGATGTCGCGTATTGCGTGATCACGTGTCTACGCTGCGGGCATTGGGACGTTTGAGGGACAGGCAACAGCCCGGCGCCGTGTGGCGCGGCCACAAAGGGTTTCGACTGGGATAAGGACGCGTAGTTGTTCGTCTCGTATATGCGTTCGGATTTGTGGCGGGGCGCGCGCTGTCGAGCGCAGTGCAGACGTAAGGTAGTACAGTAAGTGCTGCAGTGGACTGTCATAATATATTTTTCACGTTGGATATATGCGCTGAGAAGTTTTAAAATGTTGTATTAGGCTAATAATAGGGTTGTTATGTTGAGCGACACCTTTTACGTACATTTCTTGGGTCCATGCCTTTAGTTGACCCAAATTCTAGGAAAATACTAGGCCTGACAAGCAATCAGCAACGTGCATCGGTCAAGGGCGTTGGATGCCGTCTGCCCCATTATTGTCTGCATTGGTGACAATAATGGGGCAGGCGGGCTGGGTGGGCTTTGAGGATTATTTCATTCAAGGATCATTCATATTAGATCATGTTGAGGCATGTAAGTCTTGTAAGTTCTGTAAGTACTATAAGCAAGCCTTGAAAGCGCTGTCAGTAAGCTCTGTAAGTACTGCATACCTATGAACAGGAATGCCTCAAGGATATGAGTTTGTTTTGTCGCGTCCACGTCAGAGATCCCATTCGTACGTTTTAAGTAAATTTGGAAAAGTTTCGGTCCGGAAATTTATATTATCCTACCGGTCCAAGAAAGCAATGTTTTGCTTTTGGCGAGGTAACCGAAATTTTATCAAGTTGTGCGTCTTAACACATTTTAAAGACGTCTGCAAAACGTTGCCAGCCGAAAATCTCTAATAAAAGGTGTTTGGTTAAGAGTTTTTAATTTTTTAAATTTTTCATCGTCCTTCGTGAAAACGGCTAATTTCAAGCAAGAGGACTGAACATGAAATATAGTTAGATTGGTTTTAGATAAAGCTATCTGCCGACTGCATGGACATGGACAGATAGACCGCGTTAAGCTTGCAAAACGCTCCTAAAATAAGCAAAGCACACGACTCAGAAGTTCAGGCAATGAAATCGGTGAATCATTGGCTCAAATTTGGGATCGGTTCGCATCGGTGGTGCACCGTCGCGTCAGCGCGTGCAAATATGGCCTATTGGTTGAACGCGGGAAACACGAAATTTGCGATTTGCCAAAAATAGCTGAGGTGCGTGTCCAAATCTAGTTCATAGCTCGTGAACAGATCACAGGGAAAATCTCGCGCGTTCTCACATTTTGAACACAATTCTAAAATTTTGTCAAATTTGTTTTGACTCGGGGGAAAAGAACGGACAATCGTGAAAGCGATAGCGCCAATCAATGCGTTCGGCCACGCACGCGCGCTCGTGCGCAAAGAGCAGATTCGCCAGTTTCGGAGTGTTTTCCAGAATCAGTGGCCTAGCCAGGATGATGTGCAAGGGCAGTGGGATCAGAGATCCTCGCAGGCGGGGTGGGGGATGGGAGGTACACGTGGTTAAAATACAATTTTGGCGTAGAGCGACTCGTGTTTCGTGCTTTCGAAACTGCTGACTTGCGCTCCTCTCAAAGTTTGAAGCCATTGGCTTCGAATTAGGATTGTCATGGTAAAGCGCGAAGACATTGGTTCATGCTTTTTGCAGGCTTTTCAGTTGCATATGAATGTAATATATTAGGCATATATATATATATATATATATATATATATATATATATATATATATATATATATGTATGTATATATATATACATATATATATATATATATATATATATATATATATATATATATATATATATGTGTGTGTGTGTGTGTGTGTGTGTGTGTGTGTGTGTGTGTGTGTGTGTGTGTGTGTGTGTGTGTGTGTGTGTGTGTGTGTGTGTGTGTGTGTGTGTGGTGCGTGCGTGCGTGCGTGCGTGCGTGCGTGCGTGCGTGCGTGCGTGCGTGCGTGCGTGTGTGTGTGTTTAAAATATCATGTTATTATATTATAACTAATAATACACTCCAGATATCAATATTAGGGTATTCACTTCGCATCAAGTTTTATGCGAAGTGAAGGACAGAAATCAATGGAAAGATGACTATGCACACGATACTGAAACACCCAAGCTTTTTGGTCTTTTAGGTCAGATGAACGAAATGACATCGCCACGCACGTTGACATGGAAAGCAACGATGCATCCTCTGGGTTTCCTTATCGCTACTCTATTTGGCAGCTGTGCGAATTTTGTTGCTTATGCGTAGCAATAACTATTTTGGTTCATGATCAGGGTCAGGCCACGGTAGGTCACGAGATGTTTGCACTGAGCCCTTCACTTTTGAGGTTGCCATGGTCGTTGATTGATCGCAACAGGGCTCCACAAGCACGCAGGATTGCAAACCTCGTATCGCATGTATGAAGTTCTCCGGGGGGTGACTTTGTTGACAAACATGACCATGAAATAACAGTGTACGCGTAAATAGGTGAGGTTATGCTGTTTCTGTTAATAGGCAGGTAGGACTTTACATGAAGACAGTAACCTGCCAGATATTGCCTCGAAGCATGCCGTGTTCAAGAACGTCCCAACATGTTTTGTCGTTTCTTTGAACGCTTCCTGCCTGTCGCTAAACTCATAAGCGGCACGGAAGAAAAGCTTAAAAAATTGACACGTCGGGGATGGTTTGATGCCTTTATTGAGGTGGCTGGTTGGCCGATCAAATAACCCCCAGTAGCTGACCCTGACGCTGTTGGCGTAGCTTTCTCGTTACCTTTTTGTCCAGACTGCAATTATTCACCACCCATGTTAATATTGTAGCGATAGGCATGCAGTGTCCTAGCTACATCTGCATAGACCCTGATTATGCAGGAAGAAAGAATTTGGTCGGGTAAAAGGCATTTTAATGCATTTCTTAGTGCTCATATTTAAAGGCGAAGTTTATTTCAAAAAAGGCTTCGGGAAGGCAGTTCTGATTAGGGATGCGTAATAATAGGAAACTTCACCGGTTTGATAAATCTTTGTGTACCCATAGAGAACGGGCAGCCGTTTGCGTGTGTACAACTGTTGGGAAAATTACTGCTCGGGGCACGATGATTAATAGGACTTTTGCGAAATGCTGTTAAGATGCCTCAGATAAAACTACCCCATTATTTTTGTCTTATTTTCTGTATTATATCATGCGAGCTATTTTTCTGTAATTACCAACGCACCACAGCCAAATTGGGGAGCAAACTTAACACACACATTTATTACATTTTTAAGATTTAG